TAACATCAAGATAACTTCTGATGATCCCACTGATGGCTACCTGACTGCTATGGCTACAGATAAACAGTTAATTCAAGATGAATGTACTGATGATATAGACCAAAGGCAGTACATTGCTTTGTACCCTCTGATAACCATTGCACCCATAAAGTCGATGGAGTGGTTACTGAGATGGTTATGAAATGTACAAACAACATTTAAAAAAATATCTTCCCTCCTTAAATCTTAAGGAATTTTAACAATGCATCACATTTATTGATTTATTTATTTAAGAGCTCTCCTTTCGGAAGGGTCATCCTCTGTAAATGTGGTTAAATTTTCAAATAAATACAGTATATAAAAAATGTGCACCACCTTAGGATGTGGTGCCACCAAACCAATTGTAAATTTGGTATTTAAAACCCCACCTAGCATTTAGGTGAAATAGGTATTTTCATCATTGCAAGCTGGTATGTTTTGCTTTCATTACTTTCCTGAATTAGCTGAATGTTAATTGGCTAGCACATCGGTGAAAACTAAAACACACTTTCTAGCATTTGAGATCCCTGTGTGAGTTGATAGATGAAACCAATATCAGCTGAACCATCCATATGTTTCTTGGCCATCAATGTTATGTTTTGAGAATTTTCAGAAGAGCAATTCCATTTTTAATTAAAAGATAGTTAACTTTAGGATATCTACATAGAAATGCTATAGGTGAAGAGACTTGACATTTGGCATACCAAGAAATTAAACCAAACATTCCATGCAGCCACTGCAAACAGATATAATTGAGTATTGTCATAGATATATCTATCTATTTGTATCATCCAGTATCAGTGGCATCACTTAGTGGTATCAAAGATTATAGAATTGCATTAGGTTCGACTCTCCTGATTTTGCAGTACCCAACAAAACCAAATGCGAAGTATCACGAAATAGGGGGGTGCCCTATTAGATTTTGAATAGAGGTCCAAACTTGAACATGTGTTGCAGCATGCTTTTGAAACGAGCAATATTTACGTTCTTTTGAAGGACACGTTTAGTTTGTTGTACCTTGATGGTTGCACGTCTTGCAATTTTATACTCTTTGGTGGTATTATCTGTGGGTTTGCTTATTATTCTCATTATATTGTAGGTACATCTGTACCTTTCCTTGCCTGGTGTGCCATCCCATAAACATTACTATGCCTCCACATATCCTGTCTGTCTTCATGGATAGATGGAATAATATTGACCTTGATTTCTATGTTTGCCTATGTCATGGACGTCGTCCATGTTTATGAAGTTGTAATTAATATTCATAAATGGCATGTAATCAGTATATTGTGTGTAAATTTCACCCATCTGATATCCACCAAATACCATAATGACATGTTAAATACCGGTAGGTCCATGGACCTACTGTACATTGTATGAAATACAGTGTCTCTAAAAATTATCTGGATTGAATTTTACTTACTATTGCAGATGTACATAATATTTATTTAAGAAAGTGTATTTACATACTTTTTGAGGAAACAATGTTGGAATGATCCTGGATGGAATCCTCGGTTGAAATGATGTGTAAGAGACCGGTGGTGGATCCATTAAAAGACACCTCAGAAGTCGGAAAAGCTCATTTCCATCCATTTAGGAATGATAATTTTCCTAGGGGAGGACCCCTGATCCCCCTTTCTTTTTTTTTGAGTTTTTTATTTGGGGTTTTGGGGAACTTTCTGAACCCCCTCTTTGAAATCCTGGATCTGCCCTTGGAGACAAGGGAAAGCTCATTTCCGTCCATTTAGGAATGATAATTTTCCTAGGGGAGGACCCCTGATCCCCCTTTCTTTTTTTGGGTTTTTTATTTGGGGTTTTGGGGAACTTTCTGAACCCCCTCTTTGAAATCCTGGATCTGCCCTTGGAGACAACAAACATCTGTTTAAAACACATAACCATTATGTACACTTCAAAATGAAACATTGGAATCTATTTTTATATCTGTATATCATGTATAAATTGATTTTCTCATAAAATTGTTTTTCTCATTACAGTAATTAATATTTTTTATGATGAGTGTTTGGAATTTTTTAATTCTGACTTTTGTTGAGATGATGTGGAAAAGACAACAAACATCTGTTTGGTCACCAAACCATTGCACTTCCAAATGAAACATGGGAATCTGTTTTAATATCTGTATATCATGCATAAATTGATTTTCTCATGAAACTGTTTTTCCTATTATATTAATAAATGTTTTATTACAATGAGTTTTTGGAATTTTTTAAGTCGGGCCTTTGTTGAAATTATGTAAAAAAAAAAACAACAAACATCTGTTTGGTCACCAAACCATTGCACTACAAAACAGAAACAATGGAATATATTTTTTATATATGTATATTATGTATTCATTGATTTTCTCATGAAACTGTTTTTCCCATTATTTAAATTAATGTTTTATTACAATGAGGTTTGGAATTTTTTACGTCTGGCTGTTGTTGAAGTGATGTAGAAGAGACAGCAAACATCTGTTTGGTCACTAAACAATTACACTTTAAAACGGAAACAATGGAATATATTTTTTATATCTGTATATTATGCATGAATTCATTTTCTCATGAAACTGTTTTTCCCATTATAAATTAATGTTTTATTACGATGAGGTTTGGAACATTTAAATCTGGCTTTTGTTGAAATTATGTGGAAGAGACAGCAAACATCTGTTTGATCACCTAAATTTTATGTAAACTTCAAAACAAAAACAATGGAATCTATTTTTTATATAGCTGTGTATCATATATAAATTCATTTTCTCATGTAAATATTTTCTCATTATATTAATTGTTTAATTATGATGAGGAATTTGAACATTTTTATGTCTTGCTCTTCTGGCATGAGCAGGAAGTGGAATGTTTAAAAGTTTATGTCTAAATCAATCAGTATTTGTGGCAAAGCCAAGCCGAACCAGTCAATCTTCACAAAAATCAATTTTTAGTTATTAATACAAGGTGGAGTAGTAGATTGAGAGATATAAAATGGTAAAGGAATCATTAAAATCTGACTTTTCGTTATGAAGTTACAAGAGTTTAAACATACAGTTGTTAAAGAAAAATATTTGAGAAATCGGGCTTCAAAGTTTATGATTTCGGGCATTTGCCAGGGAGAAACTATCATCAAATCGTTAAAAATTGTTGTTTAAACATGGCAGCGTAGCATGAAAGATAGATATAAAGGTTACTGTAGTGCAATAAAATAGATTTCAAAAATTTTGACATTCCAGCATGGTTTGGCCATTATCTCTGAAATAGGATTTGCGAGGAGTGACTGGTATGGCTTGTCTTTGCCACATTTAAAGAAAGCGTCGTTGATAATTTCCTTTCTCTTCTGCAAATATGGTATAATATATATGTTCAAAACATAACATCATTTGTGTTTGCTGGGTTTATAGGTGAAAAGAGTATATAGGGTCCAAAAGTTTGAATACCAGAACTCTAAATCCACACAAGTCACTAAAGCACCTCTGATTTCATTGTATACCATATTCAGGAATTTGTCAAGCAATTAATTATTTTACCAACTAACAATTTCATGTTATAATAATATTTTTTTTTGTCAACTCCATATTAATATACAAAACATTTTGTGTAGAACCATAAATATCCATTGATAATGTAATCTCACAAGACATTACAAAGCTGCTGCAATGTTGTGTTAACTTCATATTCTGACATGCCTAACCATAACTTTAGCAAACATTACAGCATCAGATGTGTTTTCTAGGTTTATAGATGAAAACTTTCTATTTTATAATTTTTTTGTAGACCTCATCTATAAGCAGTAAATTAAAGGTAAACAGAGTTTTATTTAACGCACAAGCTTTTTTTGTATTTTATTCACACATAGCTACTTTAACTCCTTGCTTATCTATAATAGGTAAATGATTCAATTATTTTTTTAATGGTGACAACATTAAATTTAGAGAGTGCACTGTGCTGTTCTTTCTATATTTTAAACTAATAATAAGATTTTACTTACATAGAGACCATTATTGATCATTATTGATAGAACATTCATTGTAGGCATTACTTTGTTTTTTTGGGATTTTTTTTAGTAAAAAGAAAGTGTGAGATTTGAAAAAAAATCATTTANNNAGCATTGTATTGGTTCTGTCTCTTATACACATCTAGAAGTGTATAAGAGACAGATATATTATACATCAAATATATTGCTAATGTCACTCAATCTCAAGATAAACAGAATCAGCCATATCGTCCATGGAACCAGCTATTTCTTCACAGGAATGTTTTTGTTGTTGTATGTCTTGCCTTTGCTCTCCATCTTGATTTAACTGTTCATCTGTAGTCATGTCAGTCAGGTAGCCATCAGTGACATCATCAGAATATGGGTTGATGTCATAATAAGTGTAGAAATTTGGATTTTCCTCTTCTATGTCTTCAATGACATCATGGAGAGTTTTGTTGACATTGGCTTGAGTAGGTTGAAGTACATTTGTTTGACATGTACTTGTATAGCTACCATTTTGAAAGTTTAATGTTAAAGATTGTGTGTTTATATTTGTGGTATAATTTTGACCATTTAATGCTGATTAATTGTTAAATGCATTTTTAGGGAATTGTTTGGTGTATAGAAAGAAAAATGTTACAGAAAGGAGTGATAAAATACAGACAAGAACTATCATCATAGTTAAGGTTGATTGTTCACAACCATATCCTGGATCCTTAGATCCTAGCGCAACACTTTGCTCTGATGATATTATTATTATTTGTAGGCTTGACATAGATGTTACAGTTATACATTTAAATATTCCATTGCCAATGAATGTAATTGATTTGCTGCCAATAACTTTGAGCCCTTCAACTTCACATATAATGTTAGCATTCATCGTGTCTGCTGTTACAGTCTCAATTGTTATAATGTTGCTGTTGTCATTATTGATTTGGCAGATTGTGCTGTTGCTGTTGCTACCATTACTATTGTTACAATTGAAGTTTTGAATGCTGTTCAGCTCAATTACCTCCTGCATACTGTTTGTGTCTGATGTCTAAGTATAGTTGAGCTCAGTGTAGTCATTATTATCCACAATGCATTGCAGTGTTGCTGGCTGTTCTAGGGCCCGTTAGAGCAAAAAAATATCCATGCGATTTACCAGTTAATTCACCGGTATACACTTTCTAAAACCGCTCGGACACTAGTCTAATTACCGTACCATCTGGATTATCCACGACAATTTTGACCACCAAATTGCTGGGTAGAATATTGTGTATGGAATGACCATGGATCCGGAGGCGATGATAAATCAACCTAATTGTTTTTCCAAATGTTTTGTCCACAGCCCAGCGTAAAATTCAATAGGTTACAGCCCAGGCGTGGTTGCAGCTCTCCTTCGCCTCCTCACACATGCACGACGAAATCTAAATTTAGTAATATAGCTATGCGATCTATTTGTAGATTTACTATTATTCGGAGAAATAAACTTGATTAAACTAGCCTACGTACAGATTTTAAAGCAGCCATTATAAGTTATTGAGCTACATTATCGTTCCACCGTTATAGTTATAGCAGGGAGGTATACCTCTTTGTTTATAGCAGTAGTAGCAAGTAAACAAAGAATGGGTTGTTGACCATGGGATAAGTTGAAATATACTTCTGGAGTGGTTTCGTTACACCAGGTTACAGATATTTACCGTGAGCTAAAACTTGCTCAAACGGTCAACCACCCGCTGAGTGCTCAGCGCGTTTACCCGGTGAAATAAACGGAATACGGTTGGCGTTTTTTGCTTGAACAGGCCCTAGTATGAAGTCGGTGGCATTCATGGAGACTTGAAGTCTTTGTTTGATTGAAATAACAACTTTACAAACATGTGCTACTGGATCCCATGAAACATTGATAAGATGTATCCATGTTTGTCTTGGCAATGAATACATTGTAGTGAGGATTTTCTACAGAGAGGTTTTCTTCTGAGGTCCATTGCAATTCAAGAGATGGGTATCTAGTTGCGGCTTCACATTTCAGAATCACTTCATCTCCTTCAAAGTACAGTAGTATGGTTGAGAGGCTTGGATGGGATCCTGAGGAATTGGCCAAACTTAAACTTCCTTTTCCTTCTTGACAAAAACAGTATCATTGTAGGTACATTGGTATAATCCCATGTCCGACTCTAAGATACTTTGTATCGTTAATCTGTATGTGCTGTATTGTAAATTGCTATGACCTGTTTGATAAAGAATGTTAGATATTTTATTTTCAGGTACATGTGTACCATTGTGTAATAGTCTAAAATGTTTCTTTTCAATATCTTTTTGAAAGAATTTTAGTTTGCAAGTAATAATAAGACTATGACCAACAAATAATGTATTCCCCTCTCCTATAATGCTCAAAATAATTAATTGTGATGAAGAAAGATTGCAACAACATATGATAATGTAGGACAGACCAAAATTTACAACTGACAATGACAACAGCATTGTATTGGTTTTTAATATTGGTGAACAGTGGTAAAATTCAATCGAATATATAATCAACAGCTAAGAGACAGAAAATTCTGAATCTATTCCAATGAAATGAAATCTCGGAACAGTGTAAAGGTCCTGTGAATCTAGTCCAATAAATAAAAATGTTAACAAAGTTAATATGGAACAGACACATGTGAATCTAGGCAAGTCATCCAGTTTTAACATACAATAGAAGCTTGTTAATCTAGTCCAGTGTTGTAGAAACCATGTTAACATGGAATACCAAAAGAATCTTGTGAATCCAGTCCATATGTTGAATCGAACAACTGTTTAACGTAAAACATAAGCTTATGAATCTAGTCAATATAATGGACAATGTTTCAAATAAAATCGTGTGATTCTTGTTCTCAATCACATTGTTTTGCACATATAATTTTATATGAATTTTTGCTGCAGTACCTTATTAAATATCATTCTCATCAAGCAATTTGACTGGTTAATTTTTTTAGGCAATTATATTTTTATCATGGTATATACCCAGGTTAATGTGTTTTCAACAGGCAAGGCTAAGCTAGGTAAATGCTCAGTCAACACTAGTTTAATGAAGTTTATGTTGTCTGTTGGTTTCTATTTGTTATTAAATGGATCAGCTCTTGTGATTTCAGATTGTTCAACATTGAAGCTTGTGATTTAGTTCAGTGATTTAATTAATTAATTTTATTTTGTTTTCATCCAAGTAAAATCTATGTAGAATCTATGGACATTATCAACATGAAGCTTGCGAGTCTAGTCCAGTGATGTAGAATCTATGAACGTTATAAACATTGAAGCTTGTGAGTCTAGTCCAGTAATGTAGAATCTATGAACATTATCAACATTGAATGTTGTGAGTATAATCTAGTGATGTAGAATCTATTAACATTATCAACATTGAAGTTTGTGAGCCTAGTCAAGTCCAGTGATGTAGAATCTATGAACATTATCAACACTGAAGGTTGTGAGTATAGTCTAGTGATGTAGAATCTATTAACATTATCAACATTAAAGTTTGTGAGCCTAGTCAAGTCCAGTGATGTAGAATCTATAGATTTTCGTATCTCTACTGAGATCCAGCCATTGTTTCCCACAGCATTGTTGTTTTCCAGTATTTTGCCTTTTAATCTATATATATATATATATATATATATATATATATAATCGGTATCTTTATTCAAAAACCTCCTTCATAAAAAAATACATTAGCAGCAAAAAGCTAAATTGACATATATTTTGTACAAAAGGAAAACCAGAACGAGAGAAAAAAATTTAAAAAGCAAAAACATCACATTAAGACAAAAGCAAATCCAAACCATCAGTTCAAAAGTTCACTACGTTAATCATGATAGATAACTGAGGTAGCATCTTATTAAATAGCATTTCTATTAAAGTCTTATTGGTTAATTTTCAGCCAATCATATTTTCATATAATTTGACATAAAAACTTACAGTATTCTAGTTTTATGTTTTATAATTAATATTTTATACCTTTTAGTCAGCAATCAAATAAGTCAAGAGTATGTACTATATATTTCTTATGAGACGTTTTTATGGTGGAAATTGAAAAAAAGCAATAGCACACTATTATAAAATATTTAATGCAAATTTTTCCCTGATCTGGTACTGTGCACTGCAGTTACAGTTATTGACTATTGTTCACAGAAACCTGTTTATTATTACCAGCATCTAGTTAATCTAGTTTATGAAGAACTTAATAAATAATTTATTCTACTTTTGTATAAAAAAAACCCAATTTATATTATATGTAAATCACACAATGCAACTTGTTACAGCCAAATGAGTTGTTGTGTTCAATTAGGCTATTTGAAGTCTTGAAGTACTATATTTTCTTAGAGTTTATCGTACCTCTATCCATATCCACAAGATCATATTAAACCGTTAGTTTGTGTAATTTTAGAATAATTTTTGAAATTAGTAATATTTATTTGAATGCACTAATGGCATACGATGTAATTGTTTAAGCCAGGCCTGCACTTTATACTTGGCATGCAAAGTGGCCATGCAGTTCAATGTGGATTGTCTCCCATTCAATTCAGTTTCAATATGCTTAGGCTTAGATATTGTAACATTTTTTTTGTTCATATTTATCTACTAGCAGTCAATCTGTTACTCTGTATGCTCGTACTCAAAGAAGACACTAAGAAAATCAAAATATTAAGAAACTGCATTGGCGAGTGTATGATTTATTTGGCCCAATACAACTAATATTACAGTACATTTATTTGATTATGATTTTAAATTATATTTCCATAATTTTTTATGTTTTACACTGTTGGATGCAATAAAGAATTAATTAAGTTTTGTATATGTACAGAAAAAAAAGTAGGCCTACACTGAACCATTGGCTAGTGTCCCGGAGGATGAGATTACCAGAATAATTTTTTTTTGGAGCGCTACAAATCTGTCTGAGAAATTGAAAAAAAAAAATAACAAAGATATGTTTCAACATTGAGAAAATAGTTTTAATAAAGTCACCTAATTGTTACAGCGAATGCAGGGGTGGATGCAGGAAGTACAAAACTCTGCAAATACAGTACAGTAGTTTAAATGGTCGTAAGAAATAACAACGCATCATAGGCATTACTACTGGCATGTAAAGTTATTTACAATATTATTTCCATCACTTGCATACATATTAAACTGCAATTGCATCAAATTTGCTCAAGAGACCATAGGTCTCGAAGTAATCGGCTCTATATAATCGGCAATTATTTGCCGTAATTTGGCTTACACTTATGCATTGGAGTAACTGCAGCACTTAAAATGTACAATGGTCATGTCTGACCCGACCCACCCCGGTTTTTTTAATCGTACATATTTTGCATACATATTGCATGAACATTTTGATGTTGCAGTACTCTGAGGTCACCCGGGCATCGTACTGTAACAACCAACCGACTGTACATCAATTCCGATCCCATACTGTACAACTATGACAAACCATAACGCATGCAATTGTACTTCCTAGTTCCAGTACCTCTGGATTTTTTTTGTTTCTGTAAATTACCTTCAGGAGGCCAGGGTCGTGGTTCAGTTAGGCTCAGGAAACATTCAATACATAATTGTGTTACTCGTCCAGTATTGTGAAATTTATGAACAGTATATATGGAATATTAGAAACTTGTGAATTCAGTTCAGTAAATCTCAATGCACATAGTGAAAACAAAATTGCCATAACTACTGCTCTAAAAGTTTGCCAATCATAACAAGGATGATATATGCTATACTCTATAGCATTTTCCTCAATGTCTGTGATTGGGTAATTGCTAGCTTTATAGGCCTATGCTTTGTGACTATAGCAAAAACAGATTTTTATTGGTTTAGATAACAAAATCATGTATTTTGCCCCAAATAGTGTTTTTTTTTTTGCAATATTTTGTATAGTAAGTTTTGTAAAATTCCTAATTACATTAATAGAAATAGTATTTTAAACATTTTGGTACCAAAACCAAACCATGGTCAACCTGAGTAATCTACAGAGTATTGCAAACGTCGCAGCTGTACTATAATGAAGTAATATTTATAATCAACGTTGCTGCATACTACATTAAAAATTTACTTAACTATTAACAAATGTAGTTTTTTTGCTTTTGTTTCTGTTTTTTTATATAAACCACTAAAAATATACCCCCAATCATTTAATCTCATGATAAAGAGATTCATTGTTTTTGGAATTAATTATTACATTGCAGGGATGTCCTTCATGTTGAATATCTTTACTTTGTTCTCGTTCATCATTACCTTCATCTTGACTCACCAGTTCTCCTTTAGTTATAGTTAGGTAGCCATCCTTGACATCATCATCAGTGACATCATCAGGAACTATATTTCTATTATATACATCTGTTGTTCTGTGAATATGTGATTGTTTATTTAAAATTGGGTTTTGGGTTGAAGTAGTTTGATGTTGGTTTTCATAGCTTGTGTTTTTAAAGTTTAATGTAGTGGATGTAGCTTCATCTTGACTCACCAGTTTTACTTTAGTCATAGTTAGGTAGACATCCTTCACATCATCAATGACATCATCATTGACATCATCAGGAACTATATTTCTATTATATACATCTGTTGTTCTGTGAATATGTGATTGTTTATTTAAAATTGGGTTTTGGGTTGAAATTGTTTGATGTTGGCTTTCATAGCTTGTGTTTTTAAAGTTTAATGTAGTGGATGTAGCTTCATCTTGACTCCCCAGCTTTACTTTAGTCATAGTTAGGTAGACATCCTTCACATCATCAATGACATCATCATTGACATCATCAGGAACTATATTTCTATTATATATATCTGTTGTTTCTTCACTGACACCCTGAAGCATTCTGTGAATATGTGATTGTTTATTGAAAATTGGGTTTTGGGTTAAATGAGTTTGATGTTGGCTTTCATAGGTTGTGTTTTTAAAGCTTAATGTAGCGGATTGGGTGCTGATGTTTGTGCTACAGTTATGACAATATGCTGATTGGTTATTGGTTGCATTTTGGAAGTTGATGTAACGTTGTCTGAGGTACAAACCAAGGAATGTTATGGAAAACAATGATAATAGGCAGACTAGAACTATCAAGAACATAGATTGTTCACTTCCTTCCCTTTCCTCATCTATTGTTTTCTGATAACTGATCATTGACATATGTGGAGTAGTTAAATTTTCTGAAGGCAGCTCTGATGTTGATGGAGCTAAAGCTATTTGATCGACATTGAGTATGGTTGATTTGCTACCAATAGCTTTGAACCCTTCAACTTCACAAGTGATGACAGCATTGATCATATCAGCTCTCATGTTTTCAATTATTAGAATGTTGCTGTTGTCTTGACAGTTTGTGTCATTAATACTGCCATTGCTACTATTAAAATTATAGTTTTGGATTCTGTTCAGCTCAATTACTTCCTGCACACTGCTTGTTTTTGATGTCCAGTTATAGTAAAGCTCACAGATGTCATTATTATCCACAATGCATTGCAGTGTTGCTGGCTGTCCTAGTGTAAAGTCAGTGGCATTGATGGAGACTTGAAGTCTTTTTTTGATTGAAATAACAACTTTGCAAACAAGTCCTACTGAACTCCATGTAGGTACAGTCATGTAACATAGATAAGTTGTACCATCCATATTTGTTTTGGCAATTAATACATCGTAGTGAGGATTTTTTTTAGAGGGGTTTTCTTCTGAGGTCCACTGCAATTCAAGAGATGGATATGTAGTTGTGGCTTCACATTTCAAGATCACAAAATCTCCATCAAAGTAGTATGGTTGAGAGGCTTTGCATATGGGCTTCTGAGGAATTGGCCAAACCTTAATTGCCTTTTGATTTGACAGTATAGGTTGTCCTACATATGAATTACTATTATTGTAGATACATTCATATGATCCTGTGTCGGACTCTGAAAGACTTTCTATTACTAAACGGTATGAGCTTAAACCCTCACTGTTCTTAAATGTTTCAGAAATGTTTACTTTGCGTTGGTTTGTAGAATTTTGTCTTAGGCTGATGTATTTCTGTTGGACATTAATATATTTAAATTCACATGTAATAGGTAGACTTTCACTTACGAAATATATATCCTTTTCTAATATGCTCAATTCAATTGACTCTGATGAAGAAACCTGACAGCAATATAACAGGACGAAGGAAATTCCCAATTTTACAATTGATAATGTTGACAGCATTGTGAAAATGCAGGAGTTTGGTCCAGTGTAGGTTTACATATAGTGCAGCCATATAATGCCACAGCAGAGAAATAAAAAAAATGATCTTTTGAATCTAGTCCAGTGATGTGAAATCCATGAACAATGTTAACATATTTGAGTCCAGCACAGTTATATAGAATTTATGAACATAGTAGTACTAAAGTAGCTTGTCACTTTAGTACTATATAATCCATTGGCAGCAAACGTGAAATATATAATTATACGTGGCCAGTATTGTAAAATATATGAGCAAGAAATATCAAATGCACGTAGAGAAAACTAAACATCCTGCTCACAAGGTTTGCAGTTTAGTAGATATATAGTTCTATAATAGTGCAATAGCACTTTCATAAATGTCTGTGATTGGCTAATTTCTAGCCAATCATGTACTTTATGACTCTCAGTATTAATAATGTTGTAATATAATTCTCAGTAAGTTTTACTTTATCTTAAGTATGATAGTGTCATTGTTGTTGTGATTTACAATTAGTATATAGGCCTAGAATGTTTAAGCTCTAATTAAATGTGTATTTTGTTAGATTTAAGTATTTCATTAGTTTAAGGTTTAGTTTGCTTTGTGAAAAAAAACAAAACAACATTGAACTTCTGTTGAGTCAAGTTTAATTGTAAATAATAATAACAATAATAATACCCAAACATTTATAAGGCGCCAATTCCAAATTGAGTGGCGAGCATTATTACCCCTGGTCAATGGATAACATATAATGGCAAACCAGCACAAAGTGCAACCTTCTCTGCTCCCTGGGGAGTATCCCTAGTCGTTCGCTACTTCTTTAGCGCACGAAACTACATTCAATGCCACAACTCCTACCAGGTACCCATTTATACTCCTGGGTAGAGAGAGACAAACGTAGATAAAGTACCTTGCCCATGGACACAAACGACTTGCACAGAGAGAGTTTCTAATCCTTGACCTCAAGGTTGGAAGTACAAGCCACAATTGATGCGCCAACCGCTTCTAAAAAGAACCAAGTTGTTTAATTATTATTATATTATTACTATGTTTCAAATATTTTGGTACTATTAACCAAACCATAGCCCCAATAATACCTAAACAAAATGGTTTTGAATAAATGTATCCATATTGAAACTTGAGAAGTAGTAGCAAATGTGATAAGGAAATTTAAAGCATTAAAAAATGCTTTCAGTATTTGTTTTTACAAAATCGCTACAGTTGTTAACTTTTGCTTGTTTAAAGTTAAAATGAAACTCCCATTAAACCTCTCAGTTTCAGCTATTATTAGATTTTATTTCCCTGAAAGTAACTCTATACAGCAACATATCCAAACCTATGAAAATTAAATGAGTTAAAGTGAAGAAAGACAGAAAAACAAAAGAAAAGAAAAAAGAAAAGGTCAAATTTAATCAATGAACATTGGCTTGGCATGACTGATAGTTTGTGACTTAATAATAATAATAATAATGGCATCTTGTAAGGCATACGTATCTATCTCAGAGAGCTGCTCACGGCGCCATTTTCAGTTGCAAAGAGCAACGGCATATGTTGATATGCATTCTATATCTGTCCACATTTAGTTCATATATTTTTTGTAAAATCCATAACCCACCACCAAGCATTTGAAATCCTAAGAATTTGCACCTCTTATAATAATTTAATTTTTGTTTTCTGAAACTGAATATTTATCAGCCTCGCCTCTCCAAAAAAGAGGTGAGGGTATTGCAATAGCGCATGTCTGTCTCTTTGTGTGTCCTTCCGTAGTCTGGCTTATTCTGAGTGTAGCTCACTTTATTTAGTGATGTAGAGTATTGACATGGGAAGGGGAGACTTTAGGGGGATAAATGATTAAGTTCCAAGTGCTGACATGTGATATGATGTCTAACTATTGGCAGCACCAGCGACAGATCCAGGGAGCACACTTGGGACATGTAATACTGTGCATAATACGGTCAGAAAATGAAATGTTTGGGAATCTCAGCGGTGTCTGTATTTTTAATATTTGCTCACCTCAGTCCCAACCAATTTGGAGTTGAAGTAAGGCCAAAAAAAAAATCTTTTGTTGGTCACGTCTTGGGAAAGTAAAAAAAAAAAATGGGTAGGTCGGTAGGAAAAGTTTATGCCTCAAAAGTAGAAAATACCCCAAAATACAACAAAGACCATTTTAAAATTCATATTGAAGCGCAAAACAATCGCATAACACTGTTGCATTGCCTACCATCCAGCAAGATAGGCTTATTCCGGCCTTTTTAGTTCATTAAAAAAAAATAAAAATTTGAACTTTAATTTCATACATTTTGGGTTGGTCGGGCGTCCCAAAATTCCAATACAATAATTTTGTTATTTGACAGCCTTTTTTAGGGGTATGTACTCTTCGTCGGTACGGTAGGAGAACCAATGGTGGCGCTACTGGGGGGGGGGGCCTCCTTGCCACTCAAACTTTCACTGAAATCTTTACATACAAATCAAAGATATTAGAAACACTAGAACACTAGCATACCAAAAAATTAAGCAGATATGTTCTATCATTTACTCATCACTAGACATATTATGTGGTGCCAATCTCTTTTCAATAATGTAAATTTACTTAAATTTGTATTTCCGGCTGTACGCGGCACCTCAATTTGTACAGTATACCAACCATGCAATTCGGTGATGTTATTTTTATCTGTAGAGATGTATTTTCAATTTATTAAATATTTCATCAAATTTACAATTAAAATTCTTACACTAAAAAGACCAAACAATACAATTCCATACTAAATACACTTTGATTAAAATAAAAAGTAAAAAGAGAAACATTAAAATTGGGGAAAAATGAATAAACATGAATGAGAGGACTTAAAACTACAAGAAAAGACACAAATATCTTCCACAATATTGCACAACGGACCAGCAAATTTAGAAAATTAGTTATTTACAAATTGGTAATTATAAAATTAACATTATTAACAAGTTAAATATTATTAATTTATTGCACAAGAATTAAGAGTTGGAAGCCTGAACAGATTGCAATTAAAATAACATTTGAATTAAATCTAGTTTTTCTAGTATCTTTGATACAAATCTAGTCTGATATCATCTATTTACATACAGTATGAAATAATATGTTCTACTAAAGAATTAAATTTAGCCTATACTCTACAATACATCATTTGAACAGCTACAGTAAGTGATAAGCAAAATATTAAATATTGTTTCTATGTTGCATAATGCAGTTTTTGAGTCATATTCTAAGAAAAGCGATACTGGTAAATTAGAGTGTAATAATACAACACTGGTGTCATTTACTGAACAATAATTACTCATAACCTCCTATAGCACAGTACATGTTGTCCAAATATGGCATTTTATCAACTGTACATGACTGACAGTCTTTAACCAATGCATCATTCCAACTAATGTCTACATTGCAGAAACATGGACACTAACAAGTAAAACAGAAAAAAGGTTAGCCACAGCACAAAACAATATGGAAAGGAACATGTTTGGTATTACACCATACATTCAGAGGCAGAAAGACCAGTGGATTAGAGACAGAATGACATGGCATCAACATGCTGTACCTTTCGTTCAACAGAGGGCCGACAAAAGCTGATTGATGACAAATAACAATTTCATCTTTTTTTGTAGGTTAGTAAAGCTGCAGTGTTTGTTCCAGGTGTATGGGGCCCTTACTACAGTGCGATGATCCCCAAATATTGGTTAAATGAAGGAGGACAGAGTGTTTCGGGGAAATTGATTGATTTTGTCATTGAAACCCATCCAGCATATGGCGAGTTGAAGTTGAAGTCTGAAAAGAGGTAAAATAATATTTGACCTACAAATAATAATTTAATAATAATACTGATAATAAATGGAAATCTACTATAATAATTGTGATGATGATATTACTGTAATAATGTACTGGTAATCATTAAAAATAATATTACGGAAGTATGCAAATATTGAAATATTCTTGAGGATGATGATAATGGTATGCTGGTTCAAATTCAATTTCTTACTTCAGGCTTCAGTAGCTGAAACACGTTTTCTTGGATAAGTTCTCTAAACTATAAGCCCATGGTAACTCCCTTAATAATGTGCACTTTGAGAAGAGCATATACAGATAAACAGTTTAGTGGAAATGACAATACAGGTCTCCCTCCAATTAAAGACCACTTTTGGACTGTGGTTCCTAGCTTTGGTCTCTAATTAGAATAATAAAACCTGTATTAAATAAACTCAAATATAAACAAAATTTATTATCAATTCCATGTAGTATCAATATATTTTAAACTTTGTATATACAAATAATGTTTTCAACATTTAAAAAAATATATTTTATAGGTTTTTTAATTGTTGTAGGAAAGAGTTTGTCTGAGTACTTCCAAAATTTAATTTTCTTTTTTTATCGTCACAGGAATATCCATGAACATGATTTTCTGAATGAGCTTCTTGTTTCTATGGCAACAGATCAAGGGTTAGAATCCATAGCTCATCTCACATTAGATGTGCATGTTTGGCCTGATTTCCATGGAAACAGGTCTCCATTGGCTGATTCAAGCTTAAAAGGCATGGTACAGAAAGGTTTCATTACATTTTTTTTTAAACTATGAAACTTACCGACATTTTGCTTTGTTGCTTTAAAGACCAGGAAAATTATTACAGAACATACATGACAACTTATGACATGATTGGTTCCATTATCAAACTTTTATTTTTGCAGATTTCCGGTCTAACTTTATCGTCTTCGATAGAAAATCTAGCACTGATGTATTTGGCAACTGTCCAATCTATTGCAGTGAGTTTACAGAGGTTAATAAACTGATACATGAAAATGAAAACAAAATATATAGTATGTCAATTCAGACTCTCTGGACCTGACACATCTTGTCTCCTTGAGATATGACAAGTATAGATTTAACTGCCCAGGTCCATCTTTGAATTGAAGATACAGTATAGCTCTGTTTATTTCTAAATTTATTAATGCCTTCCCCAATTATAATTGTCAATGCAAAACAGGGTATATTGTATTTTAACAAAATATTCTGGAAAGAGTAATTTGGTTTTGTCTGTTCTGATTAAGCAAATTCTATAATGTACTTATGTTGAGATGGTCTCTTATAATTAGCTTTTCAGTAATAATAGAGAATAAAATGGTAACCCTCATTAAGGTTGAAATACAGTCATTTTAAAAATATAGATAGTTTATTAAAATTCATGCAGATGGCCTACAGTAAATGCCAGCACATTCCACATGTATATATTTTGAGTTTTGATGATTTAAAATTACATTATAATAAAGTGAATTGTTACTTGCATATTTATTCCTATAGCTTGGGACAAAGCTCATCATAGATGCTATGGAAGAGGCTGGCCATGACTTCAGCTCGGTGTTTGCTTGCGGAGGTTTGAGTAAAAACAACCTATTCATACAAGTGCATGCTGATGTTTCAGGTAATGTGAAGGCACATTTTACAAAGTGTATTCAGCTCTTTGAATCTCATTATGAGTCTTGGGAAGTTGTAATGACTTTACAGACATCATTCTTCTTGCTTTAACATAGAACTTTGTTTATTAAAAATGGGGTTTCCAATTATAGAGCCATTGTTTGGAAAGAAGCTCTCATAGAGTGCAGTATAACTTTCAACCAAGTACAGTAATTGGTTGATCCATGATCCAAGGAGGTATTAAATAATACCTCCTAGGTTGATCTTTTTAAATGAGTAATTTATCGTTTTAATTTAATGTTTGAGATGTTTTTTTCCCAAAATATTGCCACAGTGTATCTTTACATTACAACTATTTGACAAAAAACTGTTTTATAATAATAAAGAATAGAAAAGACACAATCATGATAGTCTAGTGTTTCCATGTTATACATTTATCTTCCATTACCAGCATTACCAGTAATGCTACCACAGGAAGCTGATTCAGTTCTGGTTGGTGCAGCCATTTTGGGAGCCTGTGCTTCTTCACAATTCAAAAATGTTGAGGTAATAATAATAATAAGAAAGTATAATACATACTCCAAGTATTGAAATACACGCCATCGTGTTGGGATTCCCAACACGATGGCGTGTATTTCAATACTTGGAGTATGTATTATACTTTCTTATCTGAGATTAATCAGTGG